TTTTATTGAAACTGTCACGACTTGCGCCGGAGATCGCTCTGGAAAAGTTCACACTGACACAATTGCGCTCTAAGTTTTATTTACACGGCGAAGCGAAAACTCGCAGCCAGTATGTACTCGAGAGACCGCGGCTGTGTACTCGTGTTACTTCGTGTGTCTCGTTTGATTAATCGATACAGCGGGGAAACGGTGGATGTTATCGATGCGGTGTACTCGTTACGGGGCCGCGATCGATATCTACGGAGCGGCCGCGGGACGGTTACCAAGGGACACCCGGTACAGCAATGGGGGAGGGGGGGGCGGCCCCCGAAGCATCTCGCTCGCCCCAACCCCACGGCATGTTCTACCCTCCCTCGACTGCGCCCTAATATAAATATTATTACACTTTGATGGGGTTAGGGTGACACTAGGGCCCCGCAGACATCCCCATGAATACCCCGCTCGTCGTCGCCGTCGCTCCTCACGATCGCTTTTCCGCGCTTGCTTTTTCATTAGGCCCGAATTCCGCGTGGCGCGTGCCGATGTTCTTAAAGGCTTAAGTTCTCTCCTTGTTTCGCTGCACCCTGTCGGCCAACCCTTTGTAGTGTCCCGCGATATGATATCGATATACACGTAAGCGGCGCTTCTCTTTCTTCCACTCCCGCGAGCGTATCGCGAGCGATCAGAATGTATTAACGCTTGACATCGAGCGAAAGTAGATTTATAATAAATTCATGATCGACATTCTGATTGATTCTTCTTAGATGAGATAGGAAACTTTATTATTAGCTATTTTTCCGCCAGTATCGTGATGACCTATATTTTGTTTTAATATTACTTTGTTATTATTGATGTTTTTGCTTGCAAAAGGCCAAAGCAAATATCAATGCAAAATTCTTTGAAAAAGTTATTTTCTTTTTTAATGAAAAGCTTAGAAGCCTCGAAAGATTATATTTATTTAAATATAATTGTATAGTTAAAAAAAATCAATGTTGAAGGCTGTGGACGTAGCATGAAGATGCAACACTTGGTATTCTTCGGTAACAATGACATCTTTAATAACCGGTTCAACAACATTACAGTGTTATAGGATTTCAATTATATACGCATTTCGAATTACTTGGTTTTTCATCAATTAAATATACAATACATACATGTGTCTTTATGTATACGTATAGAATCGCGAGTGTACATGTGTATTATATATGCCTGTTTATTATGTATATATGTGTGTGTGTGTGTGTGTGTATATACGTGTACGTGTGTGATTGTGTGTATGTACGCGCAAAGTGCGGGATGTATTGCAGTTAAGTTACGCTACGCTTTACGGATAATCTCGAGATGCGCGACTGATTCTTTTATCGCGCACGGATAATATGCATATTATGCACGGATAATTAGATATATATAATCCCGGTTACCATTTCCACCCTCTCTTATGATATGTATTTGCGTATAATGCGCATTCTTCTCTATTGTAATAAACTGAAGATCGTCGATCTCCTCCGACTCTGTCGCCGTTCTCCTTCTCGCAACACTTGGGAATTAAACTCGGTACTGAGATGAGAAAAATATTGTTGAAAAACTAGCGCCCGTGTTTGCACTTGAAACACCGTTCTCGTCAGTGCTGAGCAAATATACAAGATGTACGTTCATCGTCAAAAAAACTGTTTATGAATAGATTAGGGAATTTTTTCTAGGAGTCTTTTCTTCTCTAATATATTCAAAAGGCAGAAAATTTGCTATTCAAATTTTTCCCAAGTAAAGGAGAAGCAACAATTTATCCGCAGATGTCTGATAATTATCTACAAATTATGATTACATAATTTAAGAATTTTTACATAATAGAAAAATTCTCGCCGCTTCCACTCTGACTTAATAACACAGTGTAGTTATACAAGCTTATATAATCATCGAAACTTAACAAAATTTGTGAGAACAACAAGTTTTTCGTATTATTCACTGACTCAGAATTTCAAATTTATGCAAAAATGGTGTCCTTTCTTTCGAAAGAAAGTTAACGTTTAAAACGAAAATAATTTTCTTTTCGAACAAAAGAGTCGTCGTAAAACTTTTTAATATATTACATTTGCTACTCTTTCGAAAAAGTCACTGATGCTAACACTTCTTGAGAATCTTGAGAAATCCACTTATTCTCTCTCTTTTATTCAAAGAAAAATTTATTTCAAGAAGCAGTTTTCCGTTCTTCGCTTTTAAGGTCCGCAATTTCTACGCCCACGAATATTAGCACAATAATATCTTTGCCCAGCACTGGCCTTTAGTCCCGACACAGAAGGAAAAGGATTTTATGCTCACGTACAATCGCTTTCACGACACTCACGAACGATATGATACAAGTAGGCAAGATATACCGAGTGTTTCAGAATTGCCATCACTATCAAAGACGAGAAAAACTAAAAGTCAAAAAAAAAAAGGAAAGGATAATGTTTGTTTCAACATTTAATATTATTTCCGTAATATTTACAATAAGCAATAAAGAATATTGCGAATTTTATAACGTAAACTTTATAGATGAAGGCAGATAAAAAACTTTTCTTCTATTCAATTTTGAGTAAATTTTATTTTAACATAAAAATTCTAATTTGAAGCATTGTTATAAAAATATTTGTCAGAGTCAGTAATTGAGAAATGACAGTGATTCTGGGACACCCAGTGCGCGGCATATCTGCGCGAAGGAAAAAGCTTTTCTCTTTTTCCTTTCGCGCATGCATAATATATATTTACAAGAGACAGAAGAAACTACGTATAATTCTTTATACGACGTACGTGTAATATGTGTATATATAACCATAGTGCAACCAATGCAACGTCTTGCCGATAATTACTGCTTAGCACATACTCGCTTTCGCTGATTTTGAATCAACAAATCATTGTTTCATGTGATATTTGCTTTTATATTTTAAAAACGTACGTGTATAATGTTACTAAACAATAAATGAATAAATTTGTGGAATTATTCAAAGTATTTTTAACGTATATAATTTAATTATAAGATGTATTTCAACATTTTAAAAATATATTAGGTTCAATTTCGGTGATAAAAATGATTTTATGATAAAAAGCAAAAAAAATAGTTTTTAATTTTGCAATAATTGTACAAATGGCAAACATTTTTACTTATAATTCATAGAATCGCGGCGATAATTATCGACAAGTCACACGTTGCCGTTATGATAAAATCCTTAACATTAGAGGCCAGCTCATAGAAACAAAATGCCATTGCGGAGATAAAACGCTCTTCTTCAACTATAAAACAAAAACGCGTAGCTTACGTTTAGGTACATATGTATAGCGGTCTAATAGAGAATGTGTCTACGTTACATTAGGTCGGGTTACACTTGCTTGGATCCTTTACGGGAGAACTTTCAAGGTATTCGTTCGTACTACGAGTCTCACGACGACGGGGATAAAAACTGCGAAGTTCAGGCACTGTTAACTCAAAGCACTCGCGAATCGATCCTCGAGGATCCGCGCGACGACGGGCGAGTGGTCCCGAGGTCCGAAGCGAGCGTAGCGGATTCCCTGACGATCGAGGAACCCTTTCTCTTTTCGCGCCCTTCACGCCGACGATAATCGCCGTGTCGGTGGTACAATCGCGCATGTGCTAGTTAATTAATAACTTATTTATTTGCTTCTCGCGACGCCTCTTAGTATTGACGAGTAGGTACGAATGTGTGCTGTGCACTCGGTTGTAAGACCTGGCAGACGATGAAAATTGCGAAAGTAAATTTGCGGCATTTATTGTTTTACTAAATATTTCACTTTTTATATTGTTTGATCAGAAAGAAGAAATTGATTATACGTTGCATTGTAAAAAATAATGTTAGAAAGAAAAGAGGGGGAAAGAGAGGGAGAGAGTGAATGAGATATATTTGAGACAATTGATAATTTTCACTTGATAATAACGTCTCTCGCTGCAAAATCTTGCACCCAAGTCACTCTGACACATGATAAAATTTGATATATTTACATACATATAGAAACGCATGCCTACATCTAGATATCGCGCGACTTCCCGCGTGAACTAAATCGAACAAAATATCTCGTCCGAACGAAATATCTCTACAATTAAAAAAGTAATCTCATAAAAATACAGATATGTTTATACTACGACGCGCTCGCACTTTGGTACTGGTATTGCTCCATTATACGGCAAAGTACTCGATTAGTGGTGGACGAAAAACGGAACGGATTGAAGCGAGGTAATTAGGCGTTGCAGAAAAATATATTTTGAAAATATTGAATGTCGAATATTGTACAATTACGTATCATTTATTAACCTTCACTCATTTAACAAAATAGAAGCTGACTTCTTTAGAATTCTAACGATGATAAAGATATACTACATATATATATCTACGCGCAGCAATATGAATAACTATAATAGTGAAAGACACTTTTCTATATTTTGTTAAAACAGTAAAGGTAACTTCCTCTTCGGTATTCTGAAAACGAGAAATAGAAATGGAAAATAATAGAATGTAAAACAATTTCCAAGGCTACAAGTCACTTAAATTCGAGAATCTTTAACAGGCTTTATTACATATCATCTCTTTTAACATTTATAATTATTATTCCTATCGTGACAAGCTAACAATGAAACACATAACAGTCTTAGAGTAGCACAGAAAAATTTCAGATTTTAATAGCCGAAAACAATCTTCGCAATCCAAGTTTTCTTATTAAAAAGTGTCGTTAATAATACTCTTTAATAACACAATTTATTTGAAAATGAAACAAGTACTTTGCCAATACAGAGCGAATCGCGGGGCGAGCCTCGATCACTCTCATCACATTCCCTCTATATACAATCGTCTACTTAACTTAAAGCCTTACTTTCTAGATTTCTGATGCCTTAATTAGTGATATGATGTTTCTGTTCAGCAACAGAACGATTCTCGAACGAAAGCAATAAAAACTCAAGACTTGCCCAAGCGGCAATCCGCGAGCGAAGGTCCTTGCTGACGGGAAGCCTTCGTCGCGGCCGTGAATCCTTCCTCTTTCTCTCGATCCTTTGTGATGATTTGTATCCCAGATAAAGAATTTCGTCCTTTCTCTCTTTTCATAGCATCGATATATCTTTGTTTTTTTTATTTTCTCTCACTCTAATTTTATTTCGATGTTGCGAACTACTTGTTTTCCTTTGAAGTTCTTATTCCCCACGAAGACGGCACTATCCTCCATTCTCTTTTGTCTTTCCACTACAGTCTTACGCTTTCAACATCACATATCTTTCTTCAGCAACATTTTTCTCATCTCCCTTTACTCTTTCTTTCGTACTTGTAGATTCGATACCGCACGTGAAATCTCGGACAGATCCCAGGACTGTCAGGACTCTTCGCGGCAGCTCGTGAGAATCACTCTGGAAGTCGTTGCTTCTGTTCATCCCCGATAAAACGCCGATGATACTTCGAGTACGATCGAGATCTGGCGGACGCCGGCGGCTCGGTCGAGAGTCGCTTGCGGAGTCTCGCCGAGCCGCCGGGCGCCCTACGACGACGTGTCGATTCTCTTCTGCCGATAAGTGGAAGCCTGGTCTCGAAGACTCTCGAACACACACTCGAGCGAACGGTCGTGGCGTCTCTCGCCTCACCGATCGGTCGCGACTGTTGGACATTTCAGCGAAATCCCACGGTCGCTCTAGAACATTCCTTGCCTGAAGGGATTGCTGTCTCCGGCCGGTCGTTGATCCGCCTCAGGCCTCCTGAAGGGATTCACGTCGGCCTGCTGTCCCCGCTGCTGTTCGGCCGCGTAGTTCCTCTGCTGGCCGTAATCGGCCGGTTGGCCGTAACCAGCCGGTTGATTGTAGACCGGCGCTTGCTCGTGGGCTGGTTGATTGTAACCCGTCGCGTTCTGCGCGCCGTAGCCGGCATGCTGATCGTAGCCGCCGCCCTGTGTCGTCTGATAGTTCTGATCGTAGCCCTGGTCGATGTTCGTCTCCATTCGCGTTTGATTCAAATGGTTGCCGACCTCTCCGGTGATTGGCCGCTGCTCTTGCAGCACGTACGTCTGATACTCTTTGTCCGGCGGGTCTTGCATCAATATATTCGCTTCGTCTTGGAACGGCTTGAAGTCATAGATATGTCGCAGGTAGTAGAGCACCGGCGCGTAGAGCAGATTCGAGAAGGCGATGCCGATATTCAGTGCCGTGAAGCCGATCGCCTCGACCACGCCGCCGGCGATAATCGGACCGATCGCGTATGCCAAGCTGTACGAGATGTCGGCGATCGCGTAAATGCTGCCGTAAACCGACACGTATCTAACGTCCACCAAGTAGCCGAGCGTAGGTAGCAGCGCAGTGTCGATGAGCGCGATGCCGAAGCAGATGCCGCACAACGGGATCATCAGCACCTTGTACGAGTTGGAGAACGGTATGATGAAGCAGCAGAGACCCTCGAGCGCCAGGCCGCCAGCCGCCATCAGCCACTGATACTGCGGATACTGTTTCGCCATTTTCACGGTGATCACGACGCCAAGTACGTGCGGGAAAAACGCCGGCAGCCAGATCATACCGATCTTCCAGTTGTCGTGCGTCATCGTGTCCTCCATCCACAGCGAGATCGTCGGCTCGAGGAAGGCCAGCGCGACGTTCGCCATCATCAGGGCGCCCGCGCACACGGCGATGTACGGGTCCATCAGCAGCCGCCAGATCGGTATCGTCGACTTGGGCTCGTAGTGACGGCTGAGCTGCTCCTTTATCGGCTTCATCACTAACAGCAGCATAAAGCCGTCCGCTAAACTGACGAACGCCAGTATCAAGAACGGCACCTCCTTGCCGGCAAACTGATAAAGAGCGCCACCGAAAGGCGGCGCGACTAGACAGCCGAAGCTGATGAACGCCAGCGCGATGCCAAGCGCCTTCGAGCGTTCCGCCTCTTCCGTGAAACGATCGGCGATCATGGCGAGGCCGGCGGTGTCGGCGAACGCGGAGCCGACGCCCTGGAGACTTCGCGCGAAGAACAGCACGCCGTAGCTCGTGCCGCACGCGAACACGCTGGTCGACAGGAACATGACGGTGAGACCGATCATCATTGGGATGTCGTAGCCGATCCGATCGATGAGCGCGCCCGAGAACGGATTCACCATTAGCTGCACGATCGCCTTCGACGCGAACAATATTCCCGTGGCGGAGTCCTGGCCGTGATGGCCAGGCGCAGCTGTGGCGTTCCCCAAATCCTCGACCGGCCCGAACGTGCCGATGTACTTCAAGTAGTCTGGTATAATCGGCACGATCACCATGTACAGCATATTGTCCAGCAACAGCGCGATGCAGACGATAATAAGGATCAGCTTGCGCTGAGATTTCGGCTCCTGCAGCTTCGACCAGACGATCTCCTTGAGCTCGCCGAACTCCATGTTCAGTATCGGTATTGTCGTCATGGCGGTTGCTTTCTAGATGGCCGCACGCGGAGGAACGACCGGCGCCTCTTTCTCTTTCTCTTCCGGATCTTTTCTGTCTGTGTGTCTGTCTTAATGGGAGGAACTAACCGCGGTCACCAGTCGTGCGACCTCGGGAAGCGAGCGTGACGAGGAGGAGATCGTCGCGATTGGGGCGGCGCGCATCAGGCCGGGCCGGGGGTAACCTACAACAGATCGCCGTGTTGGCAACGATTAGCTCGCGGAATAGAAACTGGACTCTCGCGCGCGTTCACGCCGCGTTTCTCGCACGCAGCTGCAACCGCATCGCTTCGCCGCGTGGTTTCGCGACCGGAATCGCCGTCGATCGCGAAAGTCGCGGTCGGTGAAGCGACTCGCGGCTGGGAAGAAATACTGAAGAAGAAGGGGAGCCCTGACCCGGCCTGGTCAGCGCGAAACGACGTCCGTCCACCCACCCATCTGATCCGTCTCACGCAACTCCGGATCCAACCTCATGCCACGCGACCATGAAGACGCTTCCGCATCGTGTGCGGGGAAAAGAACATTGCGAAAACGCACACCCGCTCTTTTTTTCGTATATTTCTCTCTACGTACGGACGGCTTTCCCGACCGCGCGCGCGTACAAAAGAGAACACGACACCGGATGGAGGCTCCCCCACGAATAAGGCGCCGCGAGATCGACTCTATATACCTGAGCCTGGTATATATTGTGTATCGTGTTACGGCGGAGATAAAAACAGCGCGGAAAAGCGCTGAGAAAACAAGGGGCGAGGGTCGACGCGTGCTAGACATCTCCGGCGAGGTCGTCGCTAATCACTTTGCGAGTGTTAATATTGCTGGAGTATCCCAGCGCTAATGGCGATACTGCTGTCCGAAATGTTTGTCGAGTTGTCAGTCGTTGAAACAATAACCAATTACACGAAAATTAACAGTGAACTGAGTTGC